TCTGGGCCGAATATGCAAATCTTCTGAACTTCAATTAAGCGAGAAATTCAATTGCCGTCAGATATTGGTGTCGATCGACACCAGAAGTTGTGACGCTCGACACCCACATCAAATATGCTTTCCCGGTACATTCCTTCGACACATCTTCTCCAAATGCTCCCAAATGCTCCAATCCATGCCAAATAGTTCCTAATCCTGAAATGACTCAAAAAGACTCGAAAACACTAGAAAAGCTCTATAAATAAGACTTATATCATGACCAAAAACCCGTAAAAACCATGATATATCATTTATCGGTCAATCTCCTTTGTTCTATATGCAAAGTGGAGGAAGAACAATTGCTCATGTGTTGTTTGGTTGTGTTTTGGCTAAACGAGTTTGGTTACAAACTTCGCTGCCTCTTCCAACCCATGGTTTCTCAATGAATGTTGTCGAAGATATTGAATTTGTTCTTTAGTTAATGGAAAGAGTTGAACTTCAAGCTCAACTTAGGTTAGCAATTCCTTGGATTCTTTGGGAGATTTGGAAAGCATGAAACGGGTTTATGTTTGTAGAGCATCCTCAAGATCATCATTGTTTGCTTGCAACTGCTATGATTTCTTCAGAGGAATGGTTGTTTAAGAAACATGCTAGAGTTCAGGAAGCTAATATCAGTGGCTTGTGAGGTCGGTCTGGTTTGCATCGGTGGTGTAAACCAGCGTCAGGAGTTTCAAAGTGTAATATACACTGCTCGTGGATTAATGGTAAAGCTTTTTGTGGTGGATCTTGGCTTCTTCGGAATCACGATGGAGATGTGCTGTTCCATGCTCGTGATGCTTTTCTACCAAAGTAGAATCGGATTTCTGCTGAGCTGTGTTGTATCTTGTGGTGTCTTAAATCTCTCAATGATCTTCATATTCTTACTTGTGAAATATGGTCTAATTGCAATGCAGCTCTCTCGACGTTAGCAACTCCTTTGTCGTGGCCAAAATATCATTCCTTGCTAGAGAAGATTGCTGGTGTTAGTCAAGATATGGGGGATATTCACTTCAAGTTATCTTTGCCAAAAGCTAACTCCTTAGCAAGGGATATTGCGAAGAGTGTGACCTCGGATGGAAGACTGACTTCGTACATTGCGCTTAGTGGTCTGGCGTGGCTCTATTAACGGATCGATCAGGAGAAACGTGGACGTGCTTAAAGGTGTTCAGAGTTTGCGAGTTCTTGATCTGTTTCAATTTGTAGGTTTCAGGTTTGTATTCTTTTCATAGACCCTTTCTCTATTTTCATGAATGCAAGTGTTAAAAAATAATTGGAAAAAAATAAATAATTTAATTCTTCATAAGTTCAATATCCTGCTTGTTATTTGATATTAGTCGTCTCCTATACGCACACTTTCATGCCCTCTTGATGAAGATATTCGAAGTTCATATTAACATGGAAATAACTACTACGACATCTTTTTAGGTTGAAGATGAAGATTATTTCCAAGGAGATATAACTATATTAATGAAGTATTAAACCAAAAAAAAATAGTAAAAGAAATTTATTCAGTTTAATACTAATATCCTACAAATAAAATTGTGATTTTGGTGAAAGTCACAATCAATTATGCAAGTTATACGAAACATCATTAAGTAAAAATGTATTTACATTCAAAGTTATTCTTAAAATATGCTTCAATATTTCCTTACCAAACAAAACTACACCACAAAAACTTCTCTTGCCATCTCATTGAAAGCTCAGAGAGGATGATACTACGACTTCATGCTCATACAAATTGAGTAACTACTCATAATCAATTCTAATATGTAACGACCAATCATCACACAATGATTCACAACATGCACCACACAACACGAAAATTGTACACCAATTAAATTCCTAAGTAATTATAAACTATCATCTAACACGAGCTAAAACCGTAAGGGTCTTGATACCAAATTCATAAGACCCCACACTTTTTTGTTTTAAAATATAATTAAGCATCGTATACTACTTAATTAGCCACAACCAACAAACCAACAATAACTAGTATGCACAGCGGAAAAATATATACACATTAACCAATATAGCCAATAAACCAACAATCTATCATGCTTCTAATCCAGGTTTCTACAACACAAAAACCGAGATCCTAGATCATCATCCTTCTCATTGCCATGATTCCACGTCACACTTTACCCGCACCACAAACACAATGAGATGCGTGAGTATTATCACAAATTCTCAGTGAACTGATCCTCCCATCCACTAGGCTATACACACAAGTAATTAAGATCCCAAATAAACATAAACAATACCAAAAACAGCAAAACAGGGAATCAAATCACAGTCTACGTCCACAGCCAAAAGGAGAAAAAACTAAAACTCTAAAATACATAAGCCTCATACACACCAATAGTCACGAGCTCTTTGATCTCTCCTTCATAGCACTAGGAACAAGCTTCCAGAAACTCAAAACCCCTTCAAATCCTCTTCTTAAGCCTCGTGAACTGTCCACAAGCCAAACTCTCTTTGACTTTTTATCTAGATCAGATGTGACAAAACACCAATTAGATTCAAATAGAAGGTTGCCTCAAAATTTTAAGAAAGTCTTTAGGATTTTTCCTTAATTGCACCAAACTAGAGAATTTCATAAATCAAAATGGTCAACCCCTTCCAAACCTCGTCTTAAGCCTCATGAACTCTTTACAAGCAAAACTCTCTTTCACTCTTGCTCTAGAATCAACAAAACACCAATTCGAGACAAAGAGAATGCTACCTCAATTTTTAAGAAAGACTTTAGGGTTTTTTCTTAATTGCACCAGACCAGACGATTTCAGAAATCAAACTGATTAACCACCAAAATTAGGGGTGTTGATTTTCGACACCCAACAATTTAAAACACGGGCGTTACAACATTATTCTTAAAAAGGAAATTATAATCTTGATCTCCTATGAATTTAAAAAAAAAATAAAATGAGGATCACTACTTGTTTTAGCAAGCTTTACACGAGCTATATTTTATGTTTACAAAAACTTTTTTTTGCCTAAGTAGTAAAAGAAATAAGATGTTTTCTTATTTAGATAATTAGAATGGTTTAGATATATGTTATACCATAAACTTTTCATGTTTAATTTGACCAAGGTTAATTGACATATTTTTGTGAAAGTGTAACGCCCTGATTGCCATCTCTCTAGTGGGCCCCATGTTCACCACCAGTCCATGGGTCCACCTCTCTTAATGGGCCTCACGTCCTCTCACTAGGCCCAATATCGAATGATCGGTTTGCTACATCTAGGAGGCTTAATACTTGTTTACTGACCCTACCAATCACCACATGATCTTTCCCTGTGTTTTGGCCTCACTCACACAATTCTGGCAACCACTTCTCGGAAGGTCACCCATCCTTTGACAACTCCAGCATAAGCACGCTTAACGGTGGAGTTCTCTAAGGACATTTGACCGAAAGATAAGTGCACTTTGGTGAAATAGGTAGTCAAATTAATTCATTTAAACCTCTACGCAAATCGGTATCTCACAGATTGACTTTTAATCATACAAAGGAGGAGCTTAAATACTCCATTTGTTAAGTTAACGCGAAATTTTGTATAAAGTGTGTTGTCTTTACGTTTCCTAACTAACTAGAACATAAATGTTCTATTACTCCACAAGGATAAGAATGAATTGGTATGAGGTTTGTATGAGCGAAAAAATCAAATTGCGAAAAGATGAGAGCTTTATTGAAAGAACGATATCATTAACGAATTACAACAACATAATTTAAAGGCGTAATATAAACCATGTAGGCAAGGTATGATATATTTTTCCTTAATACAATAAATCGGTCATAAGTGCTTTCAGACAATCACAATTTATGAATCTCACGATAAAACCTATCACAAACTAATTCTCGAGCACACGAGTAATAGAATTAGGCGAACTTGATCTACGATAGATTCTCAAGACTACTAAACTAACAACTTACTTGGAAAAAGTAAGTGCTTTCGGACAACATATTTGGGTTGGCGGGCATGTGGAACCTTCCGACTCTCTTATAGACATTTTTAAAACTAGATAAGAGTGCAACCATATATAAAGGATGTGGGACATTTTCATAATTATCCCAAGTGGTTCACTTCACACTCTTATTTCTTATTCAAATCAACTAAGTTTTTGACATATAAGTATACCATCTTGTAATACTGAGTTCCAGTTTCCATTGCACTATCGACCCAACAATTCCGTTCAGCCATTTACCGGGATTCAGCCGGAAAGTTGCCAAATAATCATTTTCAAAAACTTGCAATTTTCACAAACTTGTTTTCTGAAAATTTAGTTCCAACAAATTTATGCTTGTCCGACTAGTGTAAATCCATTTTGTAGCCTCATGAAAGTCAATAGTTTGACAATTATCAAAACTCATGACAATTACTATAAGTTATTTTGGTCTCGAGTTTGATAAAATAATAAGGTAATAATATATTATAAAGATCATTGGTAAACATATGATCACATCAATATCATAAATTAATACTTATAAAAATTATATACGTAAATTAATACTTATAATATATTCTGAAGATCATTAGTAAATTATTGTTGCTTATTCTTGAATTTAAATTCTACTTGGAGTTCTTTTTAATATTTCATATATACAAAATTAATGTGTTGATTTCTCGAGTTGCATTTAAAAATCGTGGAGTTCTTAATACGATAATTACTTCCTTACATGTAATTTGTTCTAGTGATATCATATATCATCTTCGACTTCATCATCACTACTAAGGATAGTAGTATTGATTTTCTTCAAAACTCAAAACATGCATCATTTACCTAAATAACAGTGTAGACTATTTACATTAAGATAATTTTAAAGAAACTACCACATTTCATCTTTTCCTTTTGAAATCTACCACATTTTTAAAATCTTTTCTACACTACCACTTTCATAAAGAGAAAAGACTATTTTACCCTATACTTTATCAACTCTCTTTTCTCTCCCAAACTCCACGACACCAACAAAACCAGAAAACCTCATTGTCCTCTTTTTCTCTTTCCAACTCAACTTTTCTCTCACTTTCCACCAAAACCTCCATTTTATCTCTGCTAATTTCTTAAATTTTACCATTTTTTTGTTCTTCCTCACAATCAAATCAAATCGATTTCACATGATTTCGCCGCCCTCCATTTATCAACGTAGATTGACCAAAATCAATGGAGTTCTCCTTATTCCCCCTCTTCTCTAGATCTTCTTTCAACTTGGTAAGTATCTATTCTTCTTATTTTTTACGATTCAAACCGATCTGATTGATAAGTTTGTTTTTATTTAAAATCCATTGGATAGACATATGTGAAAAAGAAGATGAGAACCAGATCTAGAAATTTGTCCACGAGAAAATATATATAAATCATATGTCCACCATAAGAATTATTTTTTTTATCGACATATTGTCTATCAAAATTATCAATTGTATAACAATGAGTTTATGAATATTTTCAATAATAACTCTTGTCTATTGTTTGTATAGGTAAGCGAGGATAGTTTCTGAAAATGATATCAATGACGGAAAAGATGTAAATATAGTTTTTGTATATGTTTTTGTCCACGATATATTTTTGTCCATGATAATTATGTGTTTTTGTCCATTGTTCTTATATAGTATGTGATTCTTGTATCGTTTGTAAACATATTTTCTAAAATTTTTTATTATTTTGTCTCCACATACAAATAAAAACATATTTTCGAGACAATCAAATATACTGTAATTTAGGGATACATCTATGCCAAATATACTGTAATTTAGGGATACATATAAAATGCTCTTATTATTCCATAATCATAAAATCACAAGGTTGAATTCTTGTTCTCATGTTAGATGACAATCAAAAATCAAAATATGGTAAATTTTCAATGTTTTATGGATGTATCGGACGATTAGCACAAGAAAACTCTTATAGTATGCATCTTCTGATCAAACCAAATAATATATTCTTAAAAAATCACATTTGTCATGCAAGCTCTTTTGTTGTAATGACACCTACAATTCAAGTCACTCATATTGACATTCTAAAACAATGTGGGATTTCATATTTTTCTAATAATTCAAATAAATATTTTTTATAGCCATTGATTGTTATCATCATTGCAACAAATAGCAATCGTCAATCTTTTATTGTCTTGTTTTATTCTTTCAAATAATTTTATAATAAAATAATGATCAGTTCGTGTAACTTGTAAGACTAACTAACTTTATCCATATTAAAAACATCTCTCAAAGGGAATTTGTATATTATTTCACATATAACTTCTAACTTCCAACTTCTTCTCCATGTCACGTGTATTAACAATCACTCTCTCCAAAACAACAAAAAGACTAATTAAACTATATCATACCTTAACCAAGCTAACATTGGGGTATATGGTCCTCTAAAAAGTAGTTTGTTGTAATGTTTATTATGTAGAGGCGAGTTATGAGGAGGGATAACCAAAAAATTATATCAATTTTAGGATAATGTTAATCTGATTCATATAATAACTACCAAGTTGTGTAATCTCAAAAACCACAGAAGATTTTATGGGATAGATGGGATTTATAAATTTGAGAACACCCATCTACCATCGGTACTAAAAACTACAAACATGATTGATTAATATTTATCACAAATGAAAAGACAAACTAAACATAAATAACAAAATAATAAAATATTTATTTGTTACTATATATAAAATTTGAAATGAGTACAAAACAAATGACTATGTCTATCATCTTATTTATACCATTATTTAAGTTAGTTATTAATAAGTGATGTACTGACATATATAAAGCTTTTCAAAATAAAGTATGCCAACCTACTAACCATATTTTAACTATGTATTACATATTTTAGGGTTTTTCGCTTTGATCTAACAAAATTTGAGTGGACACAACGTATAAAAATGTTACAAATATGCAAGCATAATCTAGGTTTAGTTGATGAACATGTAAGTCGCAACTTATTTTCGGTTTTTTTTTATATTATTAATTTTGTACAGTTATTTCATTATGTAACTCATAAAAATTTGTGTCACTACTAATCATGGATAACTTTACTAATTTTGTCAACTTCTTCAATGATGTGATATATATATAATATTAGATAATTTTCATCGTTCAGTTAAGTTATTGTTTTTTTACTATATTATCACTAGTATGCAAACTTTTATGTTACTTTAAGCGATGGTTTTGTGTCCCATATTGTTTTGAATGACTTTTTTGAAAATGACTAAAAGTTTATCGATAATTTTTCTAAGAAATTAATCAACATAAAATATTAAAATAATAATAAATGAACATCTTAAATATTTAGAACTCACCCTCTTACTTTTCATATGAACTTTGTCAACTCTTATGAGCACTCTCAGATTCAAATTCAATGAAAATCTTTGAAAAGGTAATACTATACAGAAAAAAATACGTTCACTTCACTACAATTTTCAGAAAAGATTTATAATATGAGTAAAACTATTTCAAAGTTGGAGCGAGTAATCTCTTCCCTTATCCAAGAAATTAAGAACAATCACAAATTTGAAAACTTGATTTTCCCTTAATAAAAATAACGAGTTAATTACTCGATAAAGACTTTTTACAATGAAATTTTTGATTTTGCCATTTTATGTTAAATCTTTTAAATTTACCATTTTTATAGATCTAAAAACACAATTTTACATATTATGTTTGGGTTTTCTTGGTTCCATTTTTTTTTAGGGTTTAGTATTTGTTATAAAACATAAATTTATATTAAAAAATCATAAAATCACACATTTTAACAAAATTAAAAATGGCAAATCTATAAATTTTTAGTAAAAATGGCATATTTATAAAATTTGAGTTAAAAAGTGGCAAAATCCATAAGAATCTCTAAAAATAACCGACATAAAAAAAATGTCACAAAATCATATATATAAAAGTAAGGTTTCACTCTCTCCTTATTGGTGGAAAAAAATTTAAGCACTTCATTTAAAATATAT